CACTAAGACACGACGCATGTCTCGTAGCTGTCGTTTACCGCCCCCAACGTTAACTCTGGAAATGGATTGCCGCTTGATATGTGGAATGAATAGAGTAACACACACTATGTACAGTCACATTCTCATCTCCGGGGACTTCAATCTACACAATCTGGAGGTTTTGGCATCGCCCAGTGAGCAGTTCAAAGCAGACTTGCAGGAACTGATCGCTAATATTCCTTTGTACAATCATGTCACCGCGCCCACTAGATTCAGGACAGCAAACAAATCGTCCATATTGGACCTTGTGCTCACGAATGAAGAGCTCATAGTTGACAAGTTACTGATGGATAGTCCATTAGGTCTCAGTGACCATGTAGTAATAACGTTCAACTATGTGTGTTATGCAGAGTATCCATCTGAACACTCGGAACTAACTCATACAATCCCACGCTACCACGTATTGCAAGAACTCGCCGACGCAGCTGCTTGGGAATTCTCAAACAAAAGTCCGCATGACAACGTTTGGGCAGAGTTCGTTAATAGATTCAGCGAAAACCTCAACAGAGCATCACAGACAAAGCCCCTTCGTCCCACAAAAATGCCTTCAATTCTAAGGAGCAGGACGCGAAAATGCCTGGCGATAAGGGATGCAGCATGGCGCGTTTACAAAATTAACCCCAACTCAGAGACTTGGGGCAATTTCCTGACTCATCGCAACCATTGCACTGCACTTGTCCGTGAGAACAAAGTAACTTATCAACAGTGCCTAGCCAAAAAGTTCATGCCAAAAAACCAACTACTATATTGGCATGTCAATAAGCTTCGTAAAGTGAAGCCTGGAATCCCTCCACTTTTCACGACAGGCAGTAGAGTACAAAGTGTCGAAGAAGCAGCTAATGCCTTGCGGCTACAATACGCCCCAATTTTTGAACTCGCAACCTCTACCTGTCCCATAATATCAAGCACATTCTCGACACCATTGTTTGCAAATGTAGTTTTCAACCCATCAATTGTGTGAAGGAAGTTACTCTCACTGCGTGTGCATAGTTCTTCGGGAGCAGAAAACATCCGCCCGAAGGCACTGAAGGCTGTAGACAACAAGCTAGCTGAACCACTGTCAGAGTTCTTCCAAAGGTGCTTTGATAAACAACAAGTCCCCCCTATGTGGAAGTCTGGCATTATCACCCCTATTTTTAAAGGCGGTAGCCGTTCAGATCTTGTAAACTATCGTCCAGTAACTCTCCTCCCTGTGCTCGCGAAGGTGATGGAAGCAGTCGTCGCTGAGGCTTTAAGGGACTACCTGGAAAAATGCAACATCTTGGTAGCGGGGCAGCATGGCTTCCGTCAACACCGGTCATGCACCACCAACCTACTGATTGCACGAGGTAGTTGGACGGAAGTGGCCGATGATGGGGTCGGGGTCGATGTAATCTATCTGGACTTCTCCAAAGCTTTCAACCGCCTTGCTCACGGAATCATACTTCAACGGCTTCAGAGTTACAGGATCGCAGATCCTGTACTTGATTAGATTGGCCACTTCCTCTACCAACGGAAGCTTCAAGTACGTGTTAGGGGATCACTCTCTAACTCAATTGAGGCGGAATGTGGTGTCCCACAAAGCTCAGTGCTGGGACCGCGTTTATTCCTAATGTTTATTAACGACCTGGCAAGAGTCATCTCCTCAAATTTCCTGCTTTTCGCCGATGAAGTTAAAATATGGCGGGCGATTAGTAACAAGCCAGATCAGGATCTGCTCCAACATGACCTAGATTGCATTTACGAATGGTCAAAGAGAAACAAGCTTCAATTGAACATGGCTAAGTGCAAAGTGATACATCTGCGTCACCAGCGGGTGAGCGCATCCAAGATTGCAGACAACACCTGGGCGAAGGTTTCTCAGGAGCGTGACCTAGGTGTATTGGTACAGGAAGATCTTGGGTGTTCAAAACAAGCAGAGAAGGCGACGAGAACCGGAAATCAACACTTCGGGCTTCTTCACAGTGCCTTCGGTCGGTTTGAACCCTCAATATTTTCCCAAACGCTTAACGCCTACGTGCGAGCTTACGTGGAATATGCTATTCAGGCGTGGCAACCGTGGCAGAAACAGGATCTCGTTGCTCTCGAGACTCCTCAACGACAGGCAACCAAGAATGTCAGGGGCCTCTTTCATCTGCCCTATCAGCTTAGATTGAAATCTCTAAGAATCTACAGCAGTCGATATCGGCTTTTGCGGGGGGATCTCATAATTGTTTACCAGATTCTGAAGAACCCAAACCACATTTGCCGTCCGCTGCTGGAATTGAACCCCAACATTAAACTAAGAGGTCACCCTCTGAAAATGACAATTCATTATAGCCGGCTTGAATGCCGTAGAAATTTCTTTTCTCTCCGCGTGTGTGAGCCTTGGAATGCCCTCCCTAATTATGTCGTCTCCGCTCCCAATCTGGCGATATTTAAAAAACGTGTTGACGATGCGTTGTCTCACTTACATTTCATTTTATGACTTGTTAGCCAGGGGCTACAAAACGCAATCAAACGGTGTCTTGCCAAACGCCTAACCAATGGACTTATGAATTTATACGTTTAATACGCGAACATCTCCGCTATTCCACAAAAGTCTATGGTGAGTTCACCACAACACTTTTCACTTTATTATGCAATTGATTTTCCCAATAATTTTCATCCCACGGGACTTGTTAAGCGATGCTTTTTTACCCGTAATAAACCATTGTTCCATTGTTTATCGTACCCACCTAAATGAGAGGCATGAGCGTCTGAAAGGTGTAGACATACTGAAAGGCAGAACTATTGCTACTCAGCAACCAACCTACCTAATTTTTGTACACATTCCATTTGCTCTGCGATATCTTACTACATGTGTGAGGAATGTCGTTCATTCTAATTGATTTTAATGTTTCATACTGGTGCAGCTCTCAGTTTAACTGTTCAACATTAGATATTCTGTCTGCTCACACACTACCACTAGTTTTAATACTATTATCACGTACTACAGTTTTGAATTTTATTACATTTTTACATATGCATATTGCCACTTAACTCGCTAATCCTTGTTACTTTACCTTCTTTTTACAACCGTGCGCCGTAACCTCACTGAATGATCTGCAACCGCGTCCAATTCGAAGACGTAAAGCGAAATTCATGGTACAATAATCAAATGAAAAGAAATTGCAGTTCAGTTTGAGTTACTTTTGTGCCTTATGTTCGGATCAGCTTACCTTGGCCTTGTCTCACGTTGTTGAGAATTTACCAAGTATTATCACAACTGGTCGACTGGCCTCTATGTGGCCTCTTCTAATGCGGTCCTGGTAGCGCAAATAGGACTCGTATCGGTAAACGCTCTTTAGGCATGCGCACGACGTGGCGAAACGCCATGGAACACTGTTGCCTAACATTTTGCTGGATTGGGATAAGTCCGAACCACGGGAGGTTGTTTTTCAAGCCAGTCCGAGACGTCCGAACCCAGCCATGGATATTCTGTGCCGTCCAATCCATGGTACAATCCACACTATATCAAGGCCGATCTCAAACGATGTGCGGGTGGGCTCATGATTGATTCGGAACTGTCACACAATCCATTAATGCATACTGCACCCATGAATAACTAAATCCGCATGGCATTGACCTGTGGACTTGATAAAGCCTAGAGCACTGATGCGGCGCACTTGCACATGCGTATTTTTGCGCAGTTAACTGGTCGCTCATAGGCGCAAAATGCAACAAAGCAGGCGTACCAGACGCTGGCGATGGATAGGCCGCACACGATTCCAGAATGTCATCACCTTTGGATGCAGCACCATCAAGACGAATGTGATACTGATAACGCTGACCTGAGATTATCGGCCTCCTAAAACTGGTTGATGACGGCAAATGACCAAGTTACTCTTTCAATCTCTGCATCATGTTCACTCGTGACAAGTGCATCAAGCATGAATACACTCTATGAATGCCAGGTTACTAAGTAGATCGTTTAGTATATTGCGAAAAAGCAAATCATGCCGCGTCAGTTACCATATTAAATCGTCTAAGTGGTAGTGACAGTAACGATGTACTAGTTCCAAGTAGGCTATCTAAAGCCTTAACCGAGTAGTTCCACAGAAGTTGATAATCTGTAGCCAAGTTTTTCCTTAAGAACCTTACATCCTAATCACTGTGCTACACGTTAGCTTGAGGCGAGAAACACGTCGGCTATCTTGTTGCAATAAAATTCAATTAGATCGCATGGACAAAAGAGCAAAAGCAAGATAAAGCCTATACTATGGTACTTTCATCTTCGTATGCATCCGGAATACGATTGTGGTTCAGGGCCAGGTTAAGATGGAAGGAAGGGAAAAGAAATTCACAACACATTAATCACTGAGATTGGAACGGGGCCATATAAAAAAGTATTTGTCAATCCTACATCGGACGAAAACTGAGCGAGACGAACTGTTTACTGTGCAGCCCCGTCGGTTGCGCGAATGACACATGGTATACTGGTGAGAGGAGCTGGAACTGGACATTTAATGCTGTTGGTTAAATAACTAATTGAACCCTTTTAATGGCCGCTTTTTGGAAGCATTTTTCCACAGCTAACTACAAAGCGTTCGTCTAAACGAGCAGACGTGTTGGAACTTGGGGAAGAAAGATATAGTGTATTGTCAGTTAATTGCATGATTAAGATAGATGGGATGACAGATGCAGGTCAATACCACCATACCTGGCGGCCTTTTAACAGATACATCTATTTCAGGCTACTCTAGCCAGTAGGCTCTAGTCTTGTGGCTAGCTAATGATCGTCCCATCAGATTTACCTACTGACCAAGTAGCTTGCACTCGGTGTTAGATAACTGTACAGAGCACCTATACAAGTCACTGGAGTGCAACCGTCATGCAAAATAGGGGAATATAAATTCTGGTACTCGAGTATCCGAGTTGAATTGAGTATTCACGGTCAGTTGGTTGGATATGGTGAACTACGGCCACTGTAAATGACCTAAACCGACAACCGTACACTCAGTTCAAATCAATCCACAGACATGGACTACTGAATCATTGATTTTCATTTCATTGTAGAGGATCAGTGGTTGAAAGTGAAGCAAGAGGGATGGTCCACTTACTTTTTGCTTGTAGTCATCCGAACTGAGATCAGGGCCTAGTGTTCTCGGAGGCGTGTATATCTGGGGTAGGAGGCGATAATCAGTGACAGTGTACTTCATCACAGGGCTGATGAATGCAACATGGTTTTCGGGAAACTTGTGACTGCGCCGAGTTTGGAAAAGGGGCCCGAAGGGTTTTGGTGTTACTAATGAACAGCAATTTTGTTTTGGAGACAGCGAACCGGGAGGTTTTGTAGAGTATTGGGATCCCAAAAGTCTGTTTTGTAGACTTGGCGAGGAATAGTTGATATTTCTGAAAAACTCTCTATGGGCGCGAACCAGTTCTGATTGTTGTTGCAATCCCATACGGAATACATCGGTGGAAGATATCTAAACAACATGGTAATGAATATATTGATCAATAGCAGACGGAGTGGTAGATTGACATTAGGCCTTTGCAAACTGTTCATACAAAGCGCTTTAGGTGTAACAGCCTGCATATTCCACGCTTATATATAATTCTAAGGTCACTATTTCATTGTACACTTAGGTGAGCGGTGCTGAATTTTAAACTGTAAGTTCAGTTTTATTGTTTGAATAGAGCGATGCCATTTGCTAGACGCCCAGTTTGTCTAACGCGCGACTGCAAGTTGTGCTGCATCTTCCTATCCCCTTGTTAGCGACTTCCATCGGTACCGTATTGTTGCTAAAAACAGGAACTTTTTGTGTAAAATAATAACTCCCCTGCACTCATCTACCTTTTGGAAGCGACATATGGGGGGTTTGCGATTTACAAGAGATCACTTTAAAGTCCCAAGATGTTCATGTAGGTGTAGCGAAATACAACTGAAATATAACCCGAAAATTGGTAGCTTATGCATATATTACCCCTGCAACCGTTGGAATGCAGGTGTGAGAGATGAGAGTGAACCGAGTTCTCATTAGACACTGCGTGAGGCAATTCGAACACGAAGCAGGAACTCCAATATCTAACACGGAATTCCAAATCACTGTGCTAAACGTTTAGCACGGAGCTCAACGGCCTATTGATCAAGGCGTCGGCCGTCGATCAGTACAAGGGCACGATGGTGTATTACGGGTTAAAAAACGAATGCTTAACAAGTCCCGTATGCTAGCCAGAATGTGAACTACAAAATGATGAAAACAAAACATGTGATGCAGTTGCAGGCGTTTTGGCAGACTCACCATATTCTTTCACACAGGTATACGTAAAAGAGCCAAACTCGACTGTGTGGTTTGATGCTGGCTATGCAACGTACGTCACATTATATCGTCTGTCAAAATACACAGGCTATATCTCGTAATGTACGGGGGTTAGAAAACTTGGGTGTTTTGGAAACACAGATAAAGTGGGGGCGAAAACAATGTAATTTGAGAGAGCGCTCCATGGCTGGCAGACCCAAAGGGAGTAACCGTTTCGCGGACATCCTAGCCAGTTGTTTTGCTTGGCCAGCTTCAGTTTGTTGCCCCTCAAATTCGTCTTGGGGCTGAGTTGCATTAGGTGGCGCTAGCCGTGGATGGGGTTCCTCAAAATCTGGTAGCTCATTAGTAGGTCGCCAAGTAGGCGCCCAGGTTGACCGCTGTACTGCTCCAGAGTCCACAGTCCAAGTTGGTTTGGAGGGTGAAACAACCCTTTGACATGCTTGGCGGTTCTTCGTTGTGAAGTCTCAAGCGCTGCGAGATCTTTCTTGTGTTACGGCTACCAGGCCTAAATTGCGTATTCTACATGAGGCCGCACGTATGTGTTTGGCAACTGCGAACAGGCAGATCAAAGTGCCTGATGCCCCCCGCAGCATGCCAAACCGTTGGTTCCCAGTCTTTGACACCTACTCAGATTGGTCTGAGTAGCCCAGAGCAGCCCAGATGAGTACCCGGACCACGATTCATGGTGACTGCTTGCAGTCTGTGGTCTCCAAGCTTGTATATGATGTTCTGTTGTTAACGAATGTGGACCACCCTACACTTAGACCAGCTAAAGTGCAGCAGATAGTGGGACGACCATTCATACGCCCTGATAAGGTCTCGTGATCTCCTTGGTCGGCGATCACCCGCCACAGCTTAACATCATCAGCGAACAACAAGAACTCCGAGGCAATCAAAAGCGTAAGCTCATTAACAAACGAGATAAAGACGCGGCCCGAAAACTGCCGAAACGCTACTTTCTACACGAATCGGATCGGACAGGGCACTTCAAACTCTAAGCTGCTGTTGCAAATTCTGCAGAAAAGCTCTGATGCACCAGAGGACAATGTCCTCAACTCCATAGCTTTCGAGCCTATAAGGAAAATGTGGCAACCTACGCCGTCGAATGCTTTGGAGAAATCGAGGTTAATGACATCGTCCCTTCTCCCTTTGTCAGCTGCTTCTGTCCAATTACCGTGAAATCAGTAGGTTGGTTGTGCATGAATAGTGTTGGTGGGAACTGTGCTGTTCCGGTGGTATGATGTTGTAGTGTTCTACGTGGGCTACTAAAGCCTAGGCGATGATTGCCTCCATTACCTTTGAGAGTACAGGCAGCATGACTGCTGTGTGATATTTTGCGAGCTCCGAGAGATCTCCACCTGATAATTGGCGTGATTAGACCATGTTTCTACACGTCAGGCATTGAAAAAGTGCATTAACGGCACAGGCAGCGCTGGTGCTGCTACGTTCAACGTCCTCCGGTGAATATCATCGACTCCAGAAGAATTACAGGTGCGTAATGGGAGCAGTTCCTTTAACACAGATGTGGCCGTGAAAGCGATGCTAATAAGTGCCGGAATTGGGGCTAGGGATGTAGGCATGTAACAGTGGCGAAGGTCTCGTTAGAAGGTTGGGGCATACTGCATCCGTAGGGCGTTGGCTGCCTCTTCGGCACTGTGTCACTTCGACTGACGTGTGAAGTAGTGTGATATCGTGTTCCACTTTCCGAATGGTATTAATATCCTTTTATAGGAGCATTTTGCTGTTGGCAAATTTACAAGGCAAATGTTTTTGGTGAGTCAGTTTGTTTTTACGGGCAAGCATATTACAATGGTTGCGCCGGGTCACGCAGTCGCTCCAGGTTTCGGAACTAGGACGAGCTCTGTTAGTGTGCGAAGCTGCATTCCTTAGTGACATGCGTGTTGGGGATCTACTTCTGATGAACTAGGGTGGATTGTTGGAACGAACCTCCTGGGTTGCTGAAGCGGCCAACAAGCTGAGTCCACGCGTTGTCAGGGGAGCTATCTTTCAAGTATCATCAATCTGTCATCGCAACCAGATCGGTCAGGATGTTGTAGCGTGTGATCTTACGTTTTAGTTCAGTGTGTTCCTCCGGATATTCAGCGTAACACACATAGTTATAAAGTATGGTACTATGATCACTTGTCAATCCTGGTGTGTTTAGTTACGTAATTTCAAGCATCAGTTCATCAGTTGTAAGTACAAAGTTTAGTACCGATGGTTTGTTAGCAGCTCTGTACCTAGTAATTGAAGTGATGTGATTGTACATTGGAATACTTTCGACAAGGTTTTGCAGTCTGGCTTTGAATGCTGCGCTGGCGGATGCTGAGGCTTCCAGGTCGTGCACGTTGAAATGGCCAGAGATAAGAATTCGGCTGTAAGTTGGAGGTAAGCTTTTTGTCAGTGCTGATGTTAAATGGGTATCCATCTTTGGACTTGACGAAGTGAAGAGATAAACGACTGCCATGAAACACTTGTCTTTGTATCTGCGACACAATCAGTGACAAATGTCTCCGGATCATGCAATGATTCGCATTGTAAGTCGTTGCGATAATATAGGATTACACCACTTATCCTGCTGAAACCATCGTTTTAAAACAATAAAAGTCCCTGGATCGCTATATCGACATCCGTAACCTCCGAGTGCAACCAAACGTTTTGTAGCATGACGCAACAGAAGCTCGGCAATTTTACTGAGGAGGCCTTTGGCATTTGTGTGTACCTGTATGAATGTGTTTCGGTTCTCAGCAGCGAGTCAACCGTTGTGTCAACCATTGTATAGTCGCCGCTAACCAATTTTAGTGGTGTTATCCTTAAGTCACTTAGAGTCGAGTTCGGCGAAATAGTAAGTAGTCCCTCTGGTGAGCGGTTACTGGAATGCATAGGAGGATCCTCATTACTCCCAGAACTGCTACCAGTGTACAGTTCGAATGGAGTCCGCACTTGCCTTGGCTGCTGAAGTGTCGCTTTAAGCCGAGCGAGTTTCATTCTGCTTTGCACCGGAGCTTGTTTGGCAGTCTGTTCCTAGGTGATTGTCATCGTTCCAGTAGCTTAAATGCAATCTGCCTAGTTTGAAGCACAAAATTCGTTATCCTGAGTCTGTAACCTTTGTAGCTCGCTGACCTTGGCAGTCTCGAGAGAGAAGTAGGCATAACGTCTTCCAAGGGCAGCGTCTCAAGCATTCAGCGCCACTGTTCCTGGTCGTGAGCCTCTGCTTCGCATTCAGCGTACCCATGCGAATGGGCGATGCCATGGATAACAACGGCTTTGGTTTGAATGTCTAGGTGGAGCTCTTCTAAACTCTGTTTCGCTCACTTGCGCTCGCCTAATGGAACATCTAGACAGACGCGGACCGAAACCATATCCGTTCTAGAGACGAGTTGACAACAGGGAGACTGCTTCCATCTCATCGACAGTTTAGCCCAACTCGAAGATGTCCGGTTTTAACATAGTGCTTGGAATTCAGGTGGCAGGTGATCCACTTCTCGTTTGTAGGCTTAGTCGGAATACCAAACAGGTTGCTAATGGTGTTCTATTAGCTCAGGTATAACATCTGAATCCCAGCCAATGAATTCGATGCTGATCGTGAAACTGCGACATTCATAATGAACTGTGAATCCCACTGTTTCTCGGAATCTTACATATGAGTATGCGTCATGGCTTAGAGACCTGGCCATTTGCTACGCATCAGTGCAGCGTCGCGCCTCACATTAGCCTCCGCTCTTGTAGTAGCAACTGCAGTTGCTAATTTTCGTGTGCTTCTTGATGCAACCACGGCCCAGCTACTACTGATATTAGCTATTTTCTTAAGTTTTGGAGAAGCCTGGAGGAAGGAAACGGGTATGGGGGAAATTGTTGCAACCAGGATAGAGGAGAAAAGTGCAGGAACGGCTGGGCGACTTGGAGTAGTGGTATGTTGGCAAGAGTCCCTTTGTTGATTTAACACTTGGTTTTGTGGATTTGGCTTGTAGTGCATTGCGGTGGAGAGGACAATGTCATTCATTCTGTTTTGGCTTGTTCCTAATGAAGCTATTTTTATGCTCACTATATGCTCAACCATTAGTACCGACCTTCCCTACGTCTTAACTATTGAAGTGATATTACACTGCACACAGAAACAAAATAGGTCTGATCCGCTGCTGAGCAGCCTAAACACGCTTTGCTTAATTTTTCCACATTTGGTATGGAAATGGGTGGAGTAGCTAAAATATAAAAGTCCTATTTTGACCATCCTATGGCACAATCCACAGGCACCTTTAGGCATTGCAGATCAGCCATTTGCGCCCAGCAGGTCACGCAAAATTTGTGTTGAAGATCAATATGCCCCTCGACCTTAGAATGATTGTTTCGCTGCCAAAGTCAGTGTGCCGAGACAGGTACTTGTCACATTACCTCTCCCTCGCGGTTGTAAACGGATGGCCGGGTTCAGCGGTCGATCGTCTAGCAGTTTTTCGCGCGCGTATACTGCTCGGACCACATTACGTGACGGTGCAAGCGGAGCTCTGACAAATGTACTCAATTGTCTAGGACAGGATGTTCATTGGATGAACGAATCAAAATGCCCTGTAGTTTCGCTATGCTGCAGCTTGCAGATATTGTTGCAGGGTCGTTTGAGTTTCCGCAGCTGTTGCGAATTCAACCATTGATATTCTCATCAGAATATTAGCTTGCACTACTAACTGCAGATTTTATAGCTTATTTTTTCACTTTGAGAAGCTCAACTTTTGCAGTAGTACTAACCTCAATAATGTCCTACTCCGCCAATCGTTTAAAAACTTTACCAGCTACTGCCCTAAATCCGTTTTCTGAACGCAAAGTCTGGATTACCTTGAAAGGAATTATGAAGAAATATCTTGAAATAAAGCGAATGCGTCGTGCTGGTTGGCAATCTGGCCTCAGCCGTTGTTCGATCAATAAAAGCGCAAGTCCCACTAAGTCAACTACACGGACTTCTAAGAACTGTCCTACAAATCTTACTTTCTTTTAAACACCGTAGGATCCATACGGCTAGGAACCCGCTAGCGTCCGTTCGCATGGTTCTCCCCTAGCAGTTGCATTTGAGTTCACCACCTGGTCTCGCAGAATGCTGGCATGCAACGACAGCCCTCACCTCGATCGATGGGCTGCTTACACAGTCTTTTTTGGGGAGGGTAAAATAGCAGTCTGGAGATTCTCCGATTTGCCTTTGCATAACGCTTAGTAAAATTCTCCCTTCATTTTGCACTTAGACAATCGCTGCGTATAGTTCAGTTGATTATTGAATGCGATTGCTTGAGCCGAGCACCACTTGCTTGACGCCAGTTTCGGTTGCAACCCGCAACCGCTCCTGGTTGCTGCGCTTTTACACTCGTCTTAGCTAGCGACGTCATTATGTCGTTTTTTTTATAACTAGGTCAACAGCGAATCTTTTATCGTACGCAATAAAGGCTTCCCAACAAATTAACCTGCCTTTTGGAATCACTGTCTGGGATCCCGTTGAATTTATCCCATCTGACACACCTGCTTCAACATTGAAACCTTTTGAGGACCAAATTTCTTCAATGACGCTACAGCAATAATAAGGTTCCCCCGGTGTTGCTGCTGGGCACATTAATAGAAAGGAAACATCATTCTCGAGCCTACTTGAAACCATAGACCCAGGGTCCAGATCGATCAGACAAAATACTCATTTGAACGCTGTGTACACCAGTATACGCACTTGTTCTCCCAACGTAAACGGGCTCCTGTGAGCAGCTTAGACCATTGTGTATAAAAATGGTGTTAAATCATATACAGTAGATACCATTTTCTCACTCTGGGTAGGTGTCCTTGCAAGACAATTAAACGGCGAAATTGCTGCTCAAAATTTCATGAGATTCTAGAGATATTTTTAATTGATTTTCAAGTCTTCAACGACGAGGACCTGTGGGTTCAATGTGACCACCTTACAGAGTAAATCAAATATTGCTTTCGCATGCGTTGTCGTGTTGAAACAGTCTACCTAAGGGCGGACAGAATTTCATGCCTTCCAAGGATGATAGAACGGCCTTACAAGTGCAAAATAGCTACGTGTGTCAAGAGTTCAACCTCGGAAATTAAATCCGAGATAAAGAGGATGAACCATTTGCCAGTCGAGGTAAGTCTGAGTAGCCATAACTGTCGTGATCTATGAAGGCTTTTGAGGCAGGTGTGTGTTAAGAGCGGCTGCAGCCAGAGCGGTGAAGTGATGTCGACAACTGAATTCGCTGTGCTGGACAACACTCGTCTCAAGTTATGTGCAAATGCACTCATGTGCTACAATTCGGTCTGGTATCTAGAACTCTCGTAGCATGTATCCGCACGCCTTTGTTCTAAAAGAACGCTGAGTTCAATGCATTCGTTGAGTACGAATAGCAACTGATTCCTACTCACTGAGACCCTTACAGATTTTCTCCGTCGGATCCAACAATAATGGTGCAAAAAGCTGACGCTTTTCCCATTTATAATGCGGTGAGCCTCGCTGACAATGTACGCCAGTAAGTAATGGTGGCGTACTCGCTAACAAGGAAATGGCTCGGGTAAAGTGCAGAAAAATATAAAGGAAAAAGGAGTAAATGCCACGTCATAAGAAACCACACAGAAGGCACAAAATGTGAAAACCTTGCTAGATAGAACATTCAGGAAGTTTTATAGGGGTAAATCGAGGAATAGTCGCCAAGGGTGTTCTTACTGTTTCAAAACGGTCGCCCGAGTAAAATACCACAACAAGTTTAGGGTGCGTAGGTTGCTACAGATTCCAGTATAGCCACTATAAATCAAACTTTGAACAGCTATTGGTACTTTTCACAAAGGAGCAATGTTTTGCTAATAGCTGGCCGCTACAGCATAAGTGGATGGTAAATGGCATCAGAAGTACGCCGGTACGCAGTACCGGAGCTTCGATGCCGCGCAACCACCGCCATTCGCACGCAGACAAAGGATACTGCGAGAGTCACCCGGTGCCTGCGCAGGCTCGAGCCTACGCAGAATTTGCAACGTTGTGTCGGGATTGTAGTCGGAGTAACATAAGAGAACAGGTAATATATATCTAGACCAGTAAGGTAGCAACGAACACTGGAAAAACCATCAGACGGTCATGTCAACTTTCTCAGCACGCAAACAGTGTGCATTTTGACGGAGGCTGCTGTGTTCTCGGCACGGCGACAAAGTGTAGATCATGTCTGACGTTATCTCCCTTAGTGACTCGGAGGTCCTAGTCAAAACCCTATTAGAATAGGATCGTCGGCTTTAGTCCTGAGCGTGTTCCAAGTGGATGAAACTATCGTCCGCTACAGCGAGTGTTTAATTGAGTCTCCTTGTGAGGAATCAACTTGTTCCCCTGCTAGTTCCACTGTTGTGACCTTGCAACCGAGATATATCCAATCATTGGTAGGTGCGGAGCAGGTGTTCGCTCTATGGATAACTAGAAAGCACAGCGTGCTTCAGGCAGTGGTGTTTAAGTGGCTCGCACAGTATGGACTGAAAACTCGTGGGATCCGAGAATATTCCTGACATGGATCCACATCTTCTCCTCCCGTCACTGCCCGCTAAATGATGTGCCCGTATATTACTCCATTCAAAAATAATTACGACATGAGAAGTGTATCCCCTTTATCTATTTATTTGGTGAATTCGTTCAGAAACAAGAAAACTCGGTACGGCTTTACGCGAGTGTGATGATAATAACGTCCACACACTGCCCAGATTGATGTTGTTTGGGCCAAAATATACTGCTCTGCACCCCCCGAGTAATCGATTTTCTAATCCCCAATAAGTCGCACTGTAAGTAAAGTTATTCAGTCACCATACTGGTCACTAAACTGAGCTTGTAATGAGCGATACGCTCCTTGTTACTCACACCTGTCACTCTGTTTGAGACAATGGCGAGGATCGTTGAGTGCAAGTACCGACAAGCGGCACCGTGTTGTGCTCGGTATAGGCCTATAGAGCCACCAATATTAAACAAGTGGAGAAGATAAATGTCGGATGCGATAATCAGTTTTCGGTAACTGAGACAAGGTAAACAATGGCGTGATAGAGAAGCAGCGTCATTGGGCTTCATATAGAAAATCTGGCTCATTATCTGCGTATTCGTATGTGCGATTAGAGTTAACCATTCGCTGCAATTTGGTCTATCAATGGCCCCCAGGAGAACAATTGCTGTCATACATAACTGTGACAAAATCTAGCAGGGAATAACTCACCTGTGTACCTGGATGAGCAGATATGCCCGATACTTTTGTGTCGGGCCCTGGGGTGGCCAAGAACAGGTTGCCGGGTGATAACTGAGGAAGAATAAGGTGGTTTTCACCAAGAATGGACGTTGAAGATGGTGTGCCGTAATCGCTAAAGAGGAAAGGATGAAGGGACAAAAAACCAAATGATAAACTGTACTGCCTAGTAAAGCTGAGTGACAAAATGTGGCTGCGCTGTGTAGAAAGGTACAAATGTGCAGTTAGAAAATTGCATAGAGCTTGCGTTATGACTGTGCCCTTGTGTTAGCTGGTAATGATGGCTGTGAAAGACAGCTACACAAAAACTAGGTGTAAGTGTCTAAAGCTAACTGCACACATCAGTTCATTTTGCTTACAGTCGCCGAACCTAGGAAATGGGTTCGAATATGATTCTGTGCTCTATTTACAAAGCCTAGATAGTAATATTGAATTTGTGACGCTGAGTCCCCTCTGACTACCTCAATAAAGCAGGGAGTGTGCCTACGTTGCAATTTATCAACATTTGAACAGCTATCATCCATCACAATGCAACAAATGTATGCAAAATATGCTCACTTATACATGTATGTGTCAGAGTGAAAATATTGCAACGTTAAGAATTCACTACTATATCTCTGCATCGATGAAGAAACATGGAAAATTGAGTCGTAAAGGAGGATATATATCTATAAAAGGTAAATGCGGGCCACATGCCAGCACAAAGAGGCAGGAAATAGAAATGTTTCGGCCTGCACCTATGATTAAGGAAGAAGACATTGGGTTATTGAAAATTTGCGGGGTTGATGCCCTTGGCCTATCATTGGGCGAAGAAAAAGCATGGATGAAGTGTATCATAATGTTAGGCCGGTGAGTTCTATAGCCAATACAGCAAGGCCTTGCAATGTATTCGACGCAGCACACCCTCAATTTGGTGACCAACTTGTGTAAGTACAACCTTTTAGAGGTGTGTCTCGTTTTACAGAGAATATACTATTTATTTATTTATTTAAGTCAATCGGTGCCTCCGTGCACTAGGGCTCATTGCTGATGCGGCAGCTGCGATAAGCTCGGTAAATAGACTGCGTCTGAACCGCAGTGACCCAAAAAACGCGAATGGAAGTGCACTCATATGACCCATTCAGTCTTCGTCCGACAAGACACAGACCTCAACCTAGCCGCAACCAAATAGGAGTAGCTCTCAAGGGTCCTGGGCGACCCAACCAATTTAGCTCAATGGGTTAATGAGATACGCAAGAAGTCGCACCTTCGCGGCTCTTCTCTCAAAACGTAATCACACACTGCTTTGCTCGTCGCGCTGCTTACCAAGCGCCACTTATCTGTTACATATAGCAGGGCGGAAAAGCAAAAACCCGATACTGTTGGCGCTTCACTTCTTACCATCCACCTACTTCTCTTATTCCTCTCCCTACCCCCATTACTAACATTCTAAAATTCCAAGCTTGATTGAAAGCAGGCGTAAAGCAATTGGAGTTGAACCAATTTAATACGGTTAGTCTGACGGAAGAAGGCCGATTAGCGTTCCTTTACCTACCGTGGCTCGCTTATGGTGAACGCCGGTCATTTACGTTTGTTGTCCCCAACATCCAACAGCCATCCAATGTTTGGCGAAATTCGCAACTTGCTACTGCGCGTGCAGAGACATGAATTTCTCTCTCACCTTAGTGGTGAGGATGTATGGAATTCCCGGCAGACGAGTGCTTTAGTGCAGGGCTCAGTTGCGAAAAAGCCTAACCTCTAAAGAAGCACCGACATGAAGCTGTTTTGATCATGAGCAAGATGATTACACACAGCCATAACGTGTTTCCGGCGTTCGCTAGCTGTCAGCTAACTTCGCGCTGAGTGCTGAAGGTCCTGGCCAACCTTAGGCGTTGGCGCGATCGATGGTTAGCTAGGTGTGTCTCGCCCGCTGCGCAGCGAAGTCGGTCTAGGCAACCAAACCCGGCGTGAATGTATGTACGTGATGGCAGATCAGCTAAGGACGAGGTTGGGCATGTCAGCTCTTGTCAGCGTTATTAAATCATAGGTAATGGAGCACGAGCAGACAATGTAGTAGGGATCACGTAACGTTCCCGTTATTCAGCGCGCCCTGATTATACCGCAGTAAGGTAAATGCGGTTTAAACACCTTATCAGCTTCAAGAAAATACAATGCAATGAACGCAGGAATGCGTCCCGTCACCGCCCGGTAGGTGCTTAAACGAATGAAGAAGTTCGAGCAAACTGAGAGTGTGTGTGAAATGAAGAGAACCGGACCACTTCGCATCAACACGGACGATTGTTCCGAATGCGAAGTAGTCAGCGAAGTGTCAGAACGTCCCGACCTCAGCATTCATCGGATCGCACGGCAATGTGACACAACCCGATATGCAATACACCGGATATCACAAGAACGAACTTTTGGAAGATTCCGTGCACTTCAAGTGCAGGTTTTGAACCCCTGTGATCCGGAGAAGCGGCATGAATTTTGCCGCTAATATCTGGATCACGGGGATATTCGTTCTGTTAGCTTTACAGATGAGGCATTGTTGCACTGCATGGAACAATGAAATATTACTTTTGGGCTACCAGCAACCCACGAAAATTTACCGCATCACGTATAAATCACAGTGTGAAACTGATGGTTTGGGCCGGATTAACCAGCCAGAAAAACAGGCCCATATTTCTTTTTCGGGGATGTGACCGGTAGGTTGCTGTTTTGAAGTACTAAAGCCTTATCTTTTCTTAGCATCGTCGTACTTGGAAATGCTGGAGATTTTTGCTTCCCCAGTTGGAGGCCGAAGGGGCATGCAGTACCATTTGGTGGCAGCAGGATGGTGCACCTGCACATTCTTCTAAAACAGTGCGCGCTTACCCACCGACAGATTTGGCCACCATTAGATCGGACGCCAAGGACCAATGGAGTGGCCTGCTCGCTCACCAGATTTAAACCCCGTGGACTTTCTTCTATGGCGCCATCTGAAGAGGCGAGTGTACAAAACAATGCAGCGTACATTAAACCAATTGAAAGAATATTGTGAACGAATGTCGCGCGATCACGATGGATACTTTGAAGGAAGTGCTCGCCAATTGCAGCAAGCAGTTTCTGCACTGCAAGCAGAACGCCGGCGGACATTTTGAACATATCCTTCACTAGCAAAGATGATCGTTCTAATACATTTCTGTTAATATACTTATCCTCTTTCACAAATGTGTTAACGACTAAACTGGTTCGCTAGCAAATGGTGCTAAGGACGCGTCCGGTCGGATAGAATTCTTAACGTCCAGGCTGTCGTTGAGCACATAAACAGCGTAGGCACCGAAACTTTCGATGGCTACTTATGGCGGAATCACCGAGTCGCTATAAGCTGAGGTTCGTCCAGCCTTAATGAAAATCCGACTGTGTTGTTGACTCCGTTTCAGGCCATTGCCTGTGAAGTTGTTGTTCGGGCTGATTTGCAGTAGGTTGCGACATGTGTAAGTGGGGTCGTTCCGTATCTGGTAGACCAATACGAGATCTCCAAGTAGCCGCCTGTAGCGTCTACTGAACACTCTAAGTGTTTTTGGTCGCTGCTGGTGCGAAAGTTTGCACAATCCCTTCATTTATTTTGTTGCTCGATCATGGTGAGTTGCGAGCGCTGCAAAGTCACGGTGTAGCCAAGCATGCCAAGCCTGGATTGCGTACAAGACTTTTTAACGCACGTAGGCATGGAGCATCATAGAAAAGATAATTGAATCACAACTTTCTAGTGCCATCTGCAAGCTAACAACGTGCTGGTTACCACTTTTGAAACGGATTCCGACTGTCTGGAATATGCGAAGTCATCTTACACTAGCACACTGAGGTCAAGTTCCTGAGGGCTTGTCTGCAGGTTATATGCCACAATTTTCTAGAGACAGGCGTGTCTTTGGCTTATGTCGACAATGCGTCACTTAACCACATTTAATGCCAGTGAATTCCTCACCGGGCAATGTCAGGTCCCACCTAGGTCGCACATGGAGGATCTTGTGGTCGTCCATTCTCTTGATCGCCGGCCAACTGTTAACATCATCCGGAAAAGTAAGATTTTTGAGGTGATGGCTCTCGCATCATCGTCGCACTCCAATAGATTAGGGTCGGGCTAGAACTGCTGTTCCCGGAGAAAACTACCAACCGATCCTAATAATGCATCGCCTATGTTTTCCAATTAGCCCATCATTACGTTAGCGATGATAGCTTCCTTGACTTTGGACAGTGCAGAGAGAAGTCTTACTGGACGGTAATTGGTAGGATCAGACGGACTTCTCTGAAAGAATCCGGCAATTGGCTGGGTTAGAAGAATGGCTGCTGCCTGTAGTGCTTTAGGGTGAAGGTTATCTACTCCAGGAAAGCTATGTGTATGCAAGGATAGTAGCTTTCCAAGAGCCATTTTTGCTATGAATTTGATGCTGGATAACAATGATGGCGTGGGGACAGAAGCAAGTATAAAGTTTAAGGCTAGTACCCCTTGAAAAGTAGGCCAGTACTTGGCCCGTGAGGCGTTATCCGCCTTTTTAGTTGTGTGTGTATACTCACCAATCGTACTGAGTGGTGGGATTCCAAGCTGCAACTTTCGAAGTGCATTCACGTGTATGTACAGCAGCTTGTTGTTCGAACGGAATTGTTTCGGTTGCTCCAGTCTGTGTGATAACTTGTTTTCACGAACCAACTGTACATAATTATTGCTGAGGGCTATTTACGCGTTCTCAAGCTCCGCGTACAACCTATTTTGTGACAGATCAACCAGGATTGTATTTGCTGGCTCTCGACTGGATGGAGGAATTGGAATCACTTGACCAGTCAGTTAACAGTATATGCCAGAAACTACAAGTCGAGAAACCCGCAGAGACGCAGAATATGAACCTCGAACTTTACAGTCAAATTGCAGAACCGAAGCGACGCCACGAAAGTTGGTTCCAACATGGTCTTGGATGCTACCGGATAGCCAAAGCTGAGTTGAACATCAAACCAGACGACAGGCCAGTTTTTAAACCAAAACGTCCAGTGCCGTACGCAACACAAGCAATAGTGGAGTCTGAGTTAGATCGGTTGCAGTCGGAAGGCATAATCGAGCGCGTACATTACTCCGAATGAGCGGCACCCATCGTAGTGATAAAGAAAGGTAACGGCAAGGTACGCATTAGTGCTGACCTTTAACCGGCTTAAATTCCATGTTGGAGAACTACCAGTACCCTTTGCCTATACCTGAAGATTCGTTCACCAAGCTTAACGGTGGAAAATGGTTTGCTTATACTTACAAGTTCCAGTAGCTGAGAACTGCAGTACACTACTGATGGTCAACACGCAGCTGGGTCGTTGCCAGTACAATCGATTGCCATTCGGAGTGAAAACTGCTCCCGCCATTTTTCAACAAATCACGGATACGCTGCCGAACGATATTCTTGGAGTCGCAGTATACCTGGATGACGCGTTGATTATGGGGTCTGATCCACAAGCATTGTTGGCCACGTTAGGGAAAGTGCTCACTCGTCTAGAAGATGTTGGCTTCCGGTTACGAGCGGAGAAATGTAATTTCCTGATGGAAAGTGGCAAGTTTCTCGGGTTCATCATTGACAAAAATGGCCGTCGTCCGGATCCCGCTAATATAGAAGCCGTCAAGCAAATA